TTTTTGACACGGAGTTTTCCTCTTATTGCCCAGGCTGGAATGCAATGGTGTGATCTTGGCTCTCTGCAACCTCTGTCTCCCAGATTCAAGCAACTTTCCTGTCTCAGGCGCTCAAGTAGGAGCCACCATGCCAGGCTAACTTTTGCATTTCTAATACAGACAGGGTGTCTTTATGTTGGTCAGGTTGGTCTCGAACTCCCGACCTCAGCTGATCCACCAGCCTCAGTCTCCCAAAGTGCTGGGATTACAGGCATGAGCCACCGCGCCTGGCTCACCTGTTAGAAACTGGGCAGGCAGCACAGCAGATGAGCAGCGGGCAGGCAAGGGAGGTTTCATCTGTGTTCACAACCACTCCTTATTGCTAGCATCACCACTTGAGCTCCACCTCCTGTCAGATCAGTGGTGTTGTTAGAGTCTCATAGGAGCGCAAACACTACAGTAAACAGCACATGCGAGGGAGCTGGACTGCATGCACCTTATGAGAATCTAATGCCTGTTGATCGGTCACTGTCTCCCGTCACCCCCAGAAGGGACCATCTGGTTTCAGGAAAACAAACTCAGGGCTCCCACTGATTCTACGTTACGGTGAATTGTGTAAGTATTTCATTACATATTATAATGTAATAATAGAAGTAGGGCGGGCACAGTGGCTCATGCCTGTTATCCTAGCACTTTGGGAGGCTGAGGCAGGCGGATCACCTGAGGTCTGGCAGTTCAAGACCAGCCTGGCCAACATGGTGAAACGCTGTCTCTACTAAAGGTACAAAAACTGGCCAGACATGGTGGCAGGAACCTGTAATCCCAGCTACTTGGGAGGCTGAGGCAGGAGAATTGCTTGAAGCCAGGAGCAGAGGTTGCAGTGAGCCATGATCATAGCATTTTGGGAGGCTGAAGTGGGCGGATCACCTGAAGTCAGCAGTTCGAGACCAGCCTGGCCCACTGGTGAAACCCCGCCTGTAATAAAAATACAAAAGTTAGCTGGGTGTGGTGGTAGGAGCCTATAAGCCGAGCTATTCAGGAAGCTGAGGCAAAAGAATTGCTTGAACCCAGGAGGTGGAGGTTGCAGTGAGCTGAGATCATGTCCCTGCATTCCAGCTTGGGCAATAGAGCAAGATTCTGTTGTGCTTTTTTTTTTTTTTTTTTTTTAAAGGCAAGCCAGTTACAGTGGCTTATACCTATACTCCCAGAACTTTGGGAGGCCAAGGTGGAAAGATCACTTGAGGCTAGGAGTTCCAGGTAAACCTGGGTAACATAGCAAGACCCCATCTCTACAAAACATTTTTTAAAAATTAGGCACAGTGGCATATACCTGTAGTCTCAGCTACTCAGGAGGCTGAGGCAAGAGGATTGCTAGGGCCCAGGAGGTGGAGGCTGCAGTGAGCCATGCTTGTGCCACTGCACTCCAGCCTGGGTGACAGTGAGACCCTGTCTCTCAAAAAAAAGAATTCAGAGTAAAGTATGAATTATAAGTTCAAGCATGCCACATCCCAAATTTCCTTCAGAAGTGTTGATGCACGCCCCATGAAATCTGCCTTCATTTCCCAGCACTGCCTTAACAAAGTACCCTAAACTGTGTGGCTTCAACCACAGAGATTTATTCTCACAGTTCCGGAGGCCAGGAGTCTGAAATCAAGGGATTTTTTATTGTTTGTTTTTCCTGTGACGGCTGTGAGGGAGGGTCTGTCCCAGGTCTCGCTCCTGGATTCTCAGAGCTTCCAGAGTTCCTTGGCTTGTAGGTGGTCTTCTGTCTCTGTCTTGACATTGTGTTCCCTTTGTAGGTGTCATTGTCCACACATCCCGTTTTTATAAGGATACCAGGCACATGGGATTAGGATTCAACCTCATTACCTCAGCTTAGCTTGATCACCTGTGAAGAGCCTATTTCCAAATAAGGTCGCATCCACAGACCCTGCGGCGTAGGGCTTCAGCGTCTTTCGGGGAGACACAGGACAACGCATAACGGTATAGATTTGCGAATATTTTTAGTTTCAGTTTCTGGGTTTTATTTTTTCTTTTTTTGTGTCAGATGGGTGATGTGATGATACCGTAACAAGTTTTGAGGAAGGCACATCATAAAATAGCATGAAAACCCAAACGTCATGCTTAGGTTTTGGTTTTATTTTAATTTTTCTTGAGGCAGGGTCTTGCTCCATTACTCAAGCTGGAGAGCAGTGGTGCAAACATGGCTCACTGCAGCCTCGACCTCCTGGGCTCCAGCGATCTTCCCACCTCAGCCTCCTAAAGTGCTAGTATTACAGGAATGAGCCACCACCCACAGCTGTTCCCTATTTTTTGTTTGTACGTTGTTCTTTTTACTCAAAAATACACCTTTGCAGGTGGGCATGCTGGCTCATGCCTGTAATTCACAGCACTACAGCACTTTGGGAGGTCAAGGCAGGTGGATCACTTGAAGTCAGTAGTTCAAAACCAACCTGGCCAACATGGTATAACGCCTTCTCTACTAAAAATACAAAAAAATGAGCTGGACGTGGTGGTGCATACCTGTAATCCCAGTGACTCGGGAAGCTTAGGCAGGAGAACCACTTGAACCCTGGAGGCAGAGGTTGCAGTGAGCCAAATTCATACTACTGCACTCCAGACTGGGTGGCAGAGCGAGACTCTGACTCAGAAAAAAAATGAAATATACATACATAAATATATATACAAACACGTAATACACATATACATACATACACACACACACAAACACACACCTTGGCAATCTTTTTATATATCAGCATTTGCTGGTACAATTTAAATTCTATAGATTTCATTTAGAGTAATACAATCTAAATACTATTCTGTTAAGTTCCACAACTAAAAATAATAGGCAATGCATTTAAATGATTCAAAGTTCAAAAACTATGAAAGAGTATAGAACTGAGTCTCCCATATGGCATCCAGTATTGAAATCTAAGTGTGGCTGGATATGGTGGCTCACGGCTGTAATCATAGCACTTTGGGAGGCCAAGTCAGGTGGCTCACCTGAGGTCAGGAGTTTGAGAGCAGTTTGACCAACATGGTGAAACCCCATCTCTACTAAAAACACAAAAAGTAGCTGGATGTGGTGGTGAGCCCCTGTAATCCCCTCTACTTGGGAAGCTGAGGCAGGAGAACTGCTTGAACCTGGGGGACAGAGGTTGCGGTGAGCCAAGATCAAGCAACTTCACTCCAGCCTGGGCAACAGAGCTAGACTCCATCTCAAAAAAGAAAAAAAAAAATCTAAATGAATTAACATTAATAATGAAGGATTTGGTTCTTTGGCTGCGTGGGCCACATTTCAGGTGCTCCACATTTCAGGTGCTCCACAGCTGCTGATGGCCCAGAAACATGGTCCTCATTGCAAAAAGTTCTATTGGTTGGTGCTGGTGCAGCCTTAAAGCTGCTCCCCGACCCCTCCTGAAAGCCAACCTCTGTTAGGGTTTCTTTGGTGATTCCTTTCTGAGATGATCTATGCACACAGTCAGCATGTGGAGTTAATATATCCACCTAAAAAAATCAGTGTCTCCTGTGCAGTGCAAATGACCATGTAATAGTCCATGGAATGGAATGTATTCAGCTAGGTTAATAATGAAGTGCTCTTGAGTTTTTCCCAGGTTTCCTCTCTTACAATTATTCTGTGAACGCCATTCTCTCTGCAGAGTAAATTCTTAACAGTGGAATTCCACTGGCCACAAGGTTTATATGTTTTTCTCATTTGTTTTCTTTTTTCTTCCTTTCTTCTTTTCTTTCCTTTTTCTCCCTCCCTCTATTCCCTCTTTTTTCCTCTTCCTACCTCTTTTCTTCCCTTTCCCCCATTCTCTTCCCCCGTCTTTTCTCTCTCCCTCATTTTCCTCTTTACAATGTCTTCTATGCAATGGTATGATCCTAAATCACTGCAGCCTTGAACCCCTGGGCCCAAGCGATCCTCTTGCCTTAGCCTCCCAAGTAGCTGGGGCTAAGGCCTGTGCCACCATGCCCTTCCATTGTTTTTCTTTTCTTTTTTTTTTCTTTTCTGTGGAGATGGGTTTTACTATGTTGTCCAGGCTAATTTTCATCTTAGTAGGTACTTTTCAAGGGTTCTTACTCAAGGATACCTGGATAGAACTTAGTCACTTGAAGCCCTTGTCATTGTGTTGAAGTTTTGTGTCTGTCTCCTCTGTCCTGGGCAGAAGATTTAAAACTTCTACCCCCTTTTCAAGCAGATCAGTGACTTCAAAAAGTGTAACAATGTTGGGAGTGGAGGTGGTAGGATAGCAAGAAGTGAGGAATTTGGGACCAGGCTGGCCAAGAAGGTGAAACCCTGTCTCTACCAAAAATGCAAAAATTACCTGGGCGTGGTGGTGCATGCCTGTAGGCCCAGCTTCTCAGGAGGCTGAGGCAGGCAAGTTGCTTGAATCTGGAAGGTGGAGGTTGCAGTGAGTCGAGATCGCACCACTGCACTCCAACCAGGGTACAAATATCAACTTTAGACTTGATCCCGCCAGGCATGACCACTGGGCACATTCAGCAGTGGATCACCCGATTATGCCTCAGTTTCCAGTGTCTTCTGTCTTGCTGCATAAACATTCTCTCAACTTCCACCTGTGCCATCAGCCTGGGTGGGGAGAAAACCCATGTCAGGAGAGCCGTCTTCCTCCTAAAGCGCCACCTGTCTGATGGCTAAGACTTCTACCTCATTTACAGAACTCCCAGGGGCCCTTGAACGTCTTGTTATTTGCTAAATGTGCAAGCACAGATTGCCTGTACCTCCCCTTGGACTTTCCTGCTGCTCCCTATAGAGCTGTCTGACGCCTGGAAATGTTTATTTGCCTTTGGAGAAATTCTAGTTCCATCTGCCCCAGACTCATCAAAATTACAGTAACAGCCTGCACTCTGTAACTTTCTGGAGCCTGTTACAGCAGACAGGAGGTCCCTTTTTCAAGCCCTCTTTGCAACCTCACACAAGATGAGGAAACTGCGGCAGATGAGCTAATGAATACAAAGTGCCAGAGCTTGGGTTCAACCTCGAATCCCTGGGCCCAGGTGTTTGAGGCTTGGGTTCAACCTTCAAGTTGGTGAGATTTAAGGTTGGTGTGGGAAGTATTCTGTTTGGCACCCTCTACCCTGGTGTGTAGGGGTCGGGTCCTGGGTTGCCTGGAGAGCCTGTTTATGCCTGCTGACCTGACACATTTGTGACTAGTGTTCTCTTTAACTGTAAAGTGTTGTGGTTTGGGAGAGAAATTCTGTGCTCACCCTGTTCACGTGCACCCTGAGGAAGCTCTGACACCACCGCACAGCCTCTGATACACACTGGAGAAAGCCGGCGCTAGGATGTGCCTGTCCGCAGGAAGAGCTGTAAGCATCTACATCCACATGTAGACATATTTGTACACATACGTTTATATATGCACATTCATATATATATATATACACATATATATATACACACACACGTCTTTAGACACATTCATACACGTCTACATATTGACACATCCATGTACACATCAATATACACACACATCCATATCCACACATTCGTACACACACATCTGTGTATTTCCGTATATCTGTATACATACACATCTACACACATCCATGAACAGACACATCTGTAAACAGATGCATACACATTCGTACACACACATCCGCACACACGTCAGTGGGGATCAGGGAAACACAGCATTAAGTAGTGACGGTCTGGTAATAGCGAGTATTGTTTTGACATCTTTTGTATGAACTGACTAGCTAGTGGCTATCAGGGGTGTGCAGGGTGTGTCTGCAGGTGGCAGGCATCAAACATAGTATTTGTAGTTGCTTATGGCTTTTCTAGAGGATGTCCCATGTGGGGCCTTGAAGTGTAGTGAGCTGTCCCCGTGGCTCACCTGCCAGTGTCTGCACCAGTGACCAACGAAGTTCTGGCTTCACGGGCCTCAAGGACTTTGGATTGTACTGTAGGAAACGCTAGTGTGCCACCATTGGACGTGTCTCGTCACCACGTGGAGATCAGTTGCCAGCGGCAGGATGGGAACCGGGAGAACCAGGAGGATGTTGCAGTCAGACAGGCTCGATAACCGGGGCTGGAACTGGTGTGCAGCGGAGGTGGCAGATGGGGTCGACTCTGGTCGCATTCCATAGCTATGGTCGACTGAGCTCCTGTTGGATCCAACGGTGGGGTTGTCAAGGAGAGAAGAGGAGTCCTTTGTGTTTATGTCTGAGTTTATCACACAGGTTTCTAATTTTGAGAAACCTGGAGTTTAAACAATTGGGGAAGCGCTGGGCATAGTGGTTCACACCTGTAATCTGAGCACTTTGGAAGGCCAAGGCGGGCGGATCATTTGGGCTCAGGAGTTTGAGACCAGCCTCGCCAACATGGTGAAACCCAGTCTCTACTAAAAATACAAAAATTAGCCGGGCACTGTGGTGTGCGTCTGTCATCCCAGCTACTTGGGAGGCTGAGGCAGGAGAATCATTTGAACCCAGGAGGCGAAGGTTGCAGTGAACCTGGATCCTGCCACTGCACTGCAGCCTGGGTAACAGAGTGAGACTCCGTCTCAAGAAAAATTGAAAACTGGGGAAGGATCGGCAAAGAAAGCCATTAGCTAGGCTGTCTGCTGCCCCTTCTCCAGTCCCAGCTTGCATGATCATGGCTGGGCTTGCTGGCCAAGCCTGTCATTCCAGGTGACACCATGGCCTTTTCAGGGCTAGAGAAACCTGCAGCCACCCATAGTCGGCAAGGCTGAATGGTTCCAGGCACAGCTGGAGATAAAACTGGTGATGGGGGCAGCCCTGTCATCTTTACAGGGAACCTCACGTGGCAGGCGGGCAGCAAGCTGGCCTCTCCGCATCCTGAGCCATCAGCTGAATGACCAGGCCCATGTGACAGGTAGGAGATGAAACCCCTTGTGCCCTGTCTTCTCTGTGGCCAGGCTAGGGTGTGGGCCAAATGCCTCCTGATGGTCCTCATCACCCCAGCCTCTCAATATTAACATCCCATCTAAGGACAGACGCAGGCTCAGCGTGAGCCCCTAGAACCTCCCAAACCTCCCAACCTCCAACTGCCCCCACAAACCTTCAAATAGCAGATTTGGCCTGTTTTTATTCTCAGCCATGATAAGGAACACATGTAACATTTTGACCTAAAATACACGGGGCATTTAAAACACACACACAGGCTAAGCAGGTGCTGACCCTGTGCCAGAGCTGGGGTGGTGGCACCTGGGTGTGCCGCTTACGGGTTCCGAAAGATTCCAAGATAAAGACAGGAACTGGGGCTGGGGACACTTGGAGCGGCGGCTGTTGACCATCTCATGTGGGTGTTTGGGTGTCATGATAGCTGGCCCATTTCCACCTGTCTGTTCTGGATGACCTTCAGTGTTGCAGAAGCTTCAGAAGGTGAATTTTACCCAATAACCCATGATGTGTGGTTAATTCTTTTGTCATCTGTCCTGTTTTTGTTTCATTCTATTTTTTTTTTTTAAGACAGTCTCACAGTGTTTTTGGGATGCAATGGTGCAATCTTGGCTCACCACAGCCTCTGTCTCCTGGGTTCAAGTGATTCTCCTGCCTCGGCCTCCCAAGTAGCTGGGATTACAGGTGCCCATCACCACACCTGGTTATTTATTTATCTATTTGTATTTTTGTAGAGACGGGATTTCAATATGTTGGCCAGGCTGGTCTCAAACTACTAACCTCAGGAAATCTGCCTGTCTTGGCCTCCCAAAGTGCTGGGATTACAGGCATGAGCCACTGTGCCCAGCCTCATTCTACTTTATTCTTGGATCAAGCACAGTGTCCCACGCCTATAATCCCAGAATTTTGGGAAGCCAAGGCAAGAGGATTGCTTGAGCCCAGGAGTTCAAGACCAGCCTGGACAACATAGTGAGACCCGTTTCTACAAAAAAATTTTAAAATAGAACTACTGGATAGAAA